ATAATATTTTGTCTTTAATAAATATTTAGAAAACAGAATTATTTTTCTGTTCTTCAAATAAACGATTGAATGAGTTATAGGAAAACTTTTCGTAGATCTTCTTTTTATAAGAAAAGACTTATAAAATACTATGAAATCTAGCTTTTATGTTGAATACAATCAAGAGATAAAATACGACACTATTCTTCATAATGAATCGATCATTTTTTTTTTCAGAGATGTAAAAAGAGCACAGTTAACACTTGCTATATAGGAGAAATTTATATCAACATCAATTCTATTGAACATGAATCCACATGACGTTCGACAAAATTTTCGTTTCGAATTTAACAAAAATTCTAAAATTTCATTGATCATAAATATAAAATATTATCCTATAATTATATTCTCACCATAACGGAATGTTCTGAGATAGAATGAGAAAAGCGGTATGTCAACGGTTGAGTCTAACATAGACAACATTGTGTAAATTCATTTTACTAATATAAATGTATTATTAAGACGAAAAGTTCAGCAAAACTCTTGATCTTTAGAAAGAATTATCTCTTGTTTGTCTATCAAAGCCAGTGATCAAATGTTTATAAGTAGTACGTATTTCACCCTTCATTATTCTAAATTATAATCTATCAGTCATTATCAAATTCGTTTGTTGTTTTATATGAAAAAAAGCTGTACCATGATAATTTGTCATGTTTTTGTGTTACTTCCAAATTATGTATCTTTCTTTGTTTTTTTTTTCGTATACATAGTGAATGTAGTATTAAAATATATAAACTCTCTCATAAACTTCACTGTTCATTATGTCATCAAGTCGAGATTTCATGAATTTGTAAAAATTTTCAGTGTGACACAGAAAAACTTTGTCTAAACTCATATTGATTCATATTATTATTAAAATTCCATATTCAACCGGCTATTTCTTTTCATTTAAAACTTAAATAATACAGAGAAACCAATGTTTTCCTTTTTAAACAAAACTTTATTTATATAAGAGAAATTGAATAAAAGCAAACTTTATTCACAAAAGTCACTTTCTGATTTAGAAGGTATAATATCGTCTGCTGTCGATATTTTTTGAATAGTTGCTGATTGTGGTGTATATATAAAAATTAATGATGTTAAATAAATTACACCATCACGACGTACTAATACAATTGGTGTTGATATAGATCGTTGAATCCATGACATATTCGGCATTAAAGATGAAAATTGTGGAACTTCAGCAACCATTGTTTCACTTGATCTAAATATAAACAAAAAAAAAAATAATAAATTAATTCAAATAAAACATACCGATATTCTGTATATGGTGATTCAGTTTCACCAAACCATACTGATAAACCTGGTATAAAATTTTCTCCATTTAATTCAATTGTTGCTGCTGTACCACCACCATCAACCTAGAAGAAATTTTTATTTAAAATTCAAAAAAATCTGTCCTCAATACATACAACAATATGTCTTGCAATGGGTACTGGGGTTATTGGATGTGCTACAGGACCTCGTGCTTCAAACCATGTATATTCTGCTTTATCAGTTGATATTATTGTCCAACATGCTGCATCATTAATATCAACACGAAAACGTTCATTTATGCATGATTTACCCTAAAAATAATGAAAATAAATTTTCTTCGTTTTTCTCTTCTTATTTTCATTAATTAATCATTACTGTTATTGCAACAATACGTTCATTAACTAATGATAAATAAATAAAATTTGATGGATGATTTTTAAATTCAAATGCACATTTATGTAATTGTGATACTGGTTCATCAGAATCGATTAATATACGATTTTTTTCAACTTTTCGAATAATCTTGTAATAGAAAAAAAAAAGTTTAAAAATATTCTTTTTCTTTGTGTTTTGTTTTTATTTACTAAATAAGGTAATGATTGATTTGTTATTGAACAAACAAGTTTAACTGTTGAACCATATTGAATAAAACCTTCTTTAACTGAAAATTGATTTGATTCAATTGATAAATCATCATTATCAACTAAATGAATATAAAATGATCCCCATTCATGTGCACTTGCATGAAATTGTTTATTTTCATCAACATGTAAAAATCTTGTACTAACATTTTGACTTCTAACAACAACAAGAAAATCTTTTAATCAATTTTTTTTTTAAACAAATATTATCTCATACCGAAGACGATTAAATAAAGCAATTTTTGTTCCCGATTGAATACATACTGCTACACACAAAATAGAAACGTAATTATTGAAGAAAAAAAAAAAGAAATTTATTTTTCTATTTATTTACATTCAGCATTTTTAATTGATTGTTTTTTCTTTGATGGTTTTGATATAACTTTTATTTTTTGACTTTGAAATAATCCAACATATGGATTAGAATGATAATTATCCGTATAGATTATTTTTATATTTAAATTAATATATTTACGTTTATCAGTATCAGATATAAATAATGTTTTAGCTGAACCATATTTTATATTTCCATTTTCAATTGATAATTTTTGCATTTCATTTGATAGATAATTTTCATGCTCGTTTGAATATAATGGTTCACTTATACCAATCATTGCACATAAATGTTCTTGTTCATATAAGGAAGATAATGATGATGAACAACAAGATTTATCAGAATTAGAATTCCAACCATCACCCGATAGATAAACACATGGTGGTGGACAAAAGAATCTTTAAAAGAATTTAGTTTTCTTGTTTGGTTTAGTATAAAATTTTATTTTAAAATACAAACCGTTTTTCATTTCCATAAGATTTTTGTGCAACTTTAGCATGATATATTGTTACAGTACGATGATGGCGTGAAGATAAATAAGCTGACATTATTTCACGAGTTATTGGACGATAATCAAGGTCTTCATAATCATTATTATGTATATTGAATGTATCAGGTGAGGCGGCTATTGGTAGACTTTCTGATGATGTTGGCATAGTTAGACTACTAGTTGATGTTGTCCTACTAACTGAGAAAAAATGATATCCTTTATATGAAATAGAGTAGAGAATAAACTTCATCGTCTCGTTCTTTCTCTTTTTCATTCATCAATATTTTTTATTACATCTGGCAATTTTTCCCCATCGTTCAAATATACATAGAGAGAAAAGAACATATGAACTAAACAGACGATTATCATAGACAATCAAGACAGTATTAAAGAAAAGATCATTTATATTCATCATCCGTTTTGTCTTTATGTGACAGTATAAAAAAGAAAATATCTAACTATAAGTCCAGATGGTTATTTTATTCACAGGATTTTGTTATCAATGATAAAGATTACTTACTAGTCGTTAGATTCTTTTCCAATCGCTGTCGTTTATGGGTAAGACGTTTTAGAGGTTTTTGATGGTTTTTTAATATTGGATAGTAATTAGTTACAGTTGATTTGTTATCGATAGGACTATCAACTCGAAATGATGTATTATTTTGCAATATACTTCTTGAATTTAATGAAACATTTGTTAACATTTGATACATAGCCAATTGTATATTGATCACAGATTGATAATCATTCTATGTGAACAAAAAGAGAAAAAAAAACAAATATTATTTAGCTAAAGTAGCATTATTATAATAGATCTTTTTTGTATATAATCGTTTTCTTTGATCAAGATCAAAGAGACCACCGCACATCTAAGGTTTTTTTCTTCCAATAGAAATAAAATATTCCAATTATTGTATGAGAACAAATTTAGGGTAAGCAGTTTTCTTTTTTTGATTACCCAAAATTGTCTAACTGCGAAATGATTACCAATTAGTGTTTCTATTACTATATCTATTATCAATGATAATGAGTGTGAGTGCGAATGTTGATGAGATTTTCTCTTCATGCACATTCACATTCACATCCTTGGTAATCAGAACACATTTGCTAAAGTTTATGTTTTCTATAAAACAAAAATTCAATTTTACCCAAAATGACATAGCATATTGTCTCCAATCCATATTGATGATGTTTAATAATCAACTCTATCGAAATTGTGAATATGTATAAAACTATTATTCTTTCTCTTAAGTTTGTCTTTCTTATATGTTTTTTCGTGTCAATTTGCATTTTCATCCTAGTATGTTTGTTCAGAAAATTTTCTTGAAAAACATAGAACAGAGTAAGGTAGAAGCAAAGAGAAAGAGATCGAAAAGGCCTATATATTTGTCATACAAATGAATATGTGTCTTGTCATTCATTCATTATTATTCTCATTTTTGATGACGAAAAAAACAACATAGGGAACTGCTACTATTATTATGTCTTTTCAGATACACACTTCAATCTTTCATAGGCAAACATCATTATCGTCTAATTAAAAAATGAGACATGTGTTTGTGCGTCTGTATGTTAGCAATCATTACATTAGTAAATAGAGTTTAATATGTTTCTTTAGAAAAAACGAAGACTCCAATGCAATAAAACATATTCTTTAGTTTGAAAAGCAAATAAATCAAATGAATTTTTCTATGTATGAAAATAGGAGTTTTTTTTTATTGAAATAATTTTTTTTTTTATGTAACACGATGACATGGTGAATGATTCAGAGGTACAATTGTTAATCGTTCACGATCAATTGATGATATTGTTTCTTGAGGATTATTTTGAACACAATTTGATTTTACATTTAAATCTTCAAATATATCATCATTATTATTTTCTTTTTCATATATAAATGTTGGTCGACTTGATGTACAATTTGTACATAATGCAAAATGAAGATCACGTCTAAGACGTTCTTTAATAGTTGTTGATTTCTAAAATTATTATACATAAATATAATTTAAAATAAATAGATTTAAAATAAAAAGAAAAAAACTTTACTCCATCTAATAATCGACGTCGTTTTGCTTTAAAATAAAACTCAAGTGATGTAACGATAAATGAACATGAAAGACCCATTATTAACATAACAAAAATACCACCTTTGAAAGAAAGAAAAAAAAATATTTAATAAAAACAAACAAAAAAGAAAAATAACAAGCAAAGCAAAGCAAATCTTTTTCTTTTTTACCAATATCTTTTAAATCAAGTTCATTTGCAAATGATTTTTTCTTATGATCAACATCGGAATTATTACATCGTTCAGGTATATTACGTTCTTTCCACCATTTTATATATAAATTATTTAGAAAACCATTTTCTTGTAATTGTAAAATTTCATTAGATATACGATCACGATATGGTGAACCATGTGTTGTACCAATTCCATAACTTTTCGATTCAATTAAACCTCCTAAATATATCAATAAGAATAATTTAGAATAATAAAACAATATTTTTCAAGTTTTCTCTTTCTAGACAAGTTACAATGAGTTAAACGATTTCCTCTATATATTTCTAATATATTTTTTTTAATGAAAAACTTTAGTAATGAAACAACAAAAACTTCTACATTAGTCTAGTCCGTCTAATTCAATGGAACAATCAATTATGTTCATGAAATGATACAATTATTATTAATCAATTGAAAACTTACCAACTTGCATAAGTTCACAATGACGTTGAACATTATATTCATTAGTTGCCGATTCAAGTAAAAATGCATATTTACTTTTTTTAACCCATTCAATACCTTCTTCGGTTGTTTCAGGAAATACTTCAGGTCGAGATGACATATAATACCACATTCGTTCATATAAAGGAATTTTTGAACTCTATTAAATAATATATTATTTCAAGTAAATTATGGCATGAAAAGTCTTGACGTAAAATATTCATTAAGATTTCTCGAACCTCAAGACAATTGGTTAGAATCAGAAGCAATTATAGTTTTTTGCTCTTTTTTTCGAATATATCCAAATAGTGATTGTAAAGAATACTATTTTTTGTCACTTTTATATTTTTAAAATTAGTTTTTCAAATAATGATTCTTTAAAGAAAAAGTTGAACATAGTTTCGAAAAAAGCAAAAATTCTAATTCTAACAAACTGCTTCTATCTCTAACCAGTAGTCTTTTAGTAGCTGACAAATGAACGAATATTTTTTGTATTAAGATTTTTTCATCATAGCTTTGTTTCATTTCTTTATTGACATACTCGAAAAAATTGTTCCGTGCTACCACCTTTCAAAGGACCATATTTAATTCTAAAGACAAAAAAAAAACAACATTCAATTTTTTTTTTAATATCTTATCTTATTTATTAATATATTTACTCTGTTTGTTTAGCCAATGCTTCAATATCATCAATTGGTGATTTAAGACGTTCAGTTGTAAGAAAAGCAGCAAGATTAGCAGTATATGAAGCAATCATAATCAATGAAAAAAACCACCAAGAGCCAATAAGTACACGTGTTGATAAAGAACGAGGACCATAATCAATAGCTATTCAAATATTTTATTAAATAAATACCAAAAAAAAAGTCTTTTCTTTTAAACATACTTTGTTTCATTAATGAACCAATAGTAAACCAAAAACAATTTACAATATTAAATCGATTAATAAGATATTCACTATGACGTTTACATGAATAAGGACTTTGCCATTCATATGGTGAAAAACGTGCCATAGAAAAAAGAAATAAACTAACACCTAAATAAAATCATATTTTGACATAATTTATTCACATAAGTTTACTAACCAATATAAGCAATACTCATAAAAAGCCATACTTGAACAGTAAGTGGTTCCAAAAAAGCAAATAAATTAGGTCGAGGTCTTAATGGTTTACGAAATAAAATTGTTATACCTATTTTACAAAAAAAGTAAACATCAAACTAAAGAATTAATTTACATCTTCTATTACCAAAACTCATAAATGGTTTTGTAAAATCAATAACTTGTTCTCGTGGATATGTTATTGTTAAAGCTCCAATACCTAAATCTGCTGTCTAGATTTAATATTTGAAAAAGAAAATATTTTGATTTTTCTTTTTTGACAATAAAATAAAATTTTACTCGACGACTAAGTTCACCAATAATTCCTGACCATTGTCCATTTTCTTCTTCTTTACCATAAGCAGAATCTGTTGCAATACGAATTGAATAATTAAAACGAAGTCGTCGAGCTATTTCATCAAGCATATCAATACCTTAAGAAAATATCAAAAATTTCAGAAAATAAAAAAATACAAAGTCTATTTTACAAACAATATCCTTCGAAATAAACTGAACCATTACGATGTACTTTTCGTACAACATAAGGTTTTTCCTTGAAATAATAGAAAAATAAAAATAAAAAATTTTATAAAAACAAAATCAATGCATTAATTACTTCTCGTGTAACAACTTGTAAATGTTTACGAATAGCTGACATTTGTTGAACACTAAGTTGATTTATACTTAATCGATTCGTATTTGTCCATGTACCTATTTCAGTCATACCATGATCACTTAAATCGAGTATTTTAAGTTTTAGTGATCGACGAAAACCTGCTTGATCAAAATCAACTATACCAGTTGTACCAAGAAATTTTATCTAAATTATAAAACTAATGTATTTTCTTTCGTTGAATTTCTGCTATTTATTCATCTGCAACTAAGAAAATTTTTGCTTCACCGTTTTCAACAAAAGCTTACGTTTACATATAACAAACAAAAGTATGAATTTTTCTTTTTCTAAATTTTAAACAGTACTGTTGACATTAGAATAACAGAATTAACAGTAGGATAAATATTTCAAGTATTATAATAGCTAGTAGTTAGTGATTTTTCAAATAATTGAAAGAAAAGACATCAGAGTTCAGCATGGCATTGAAAGATCCAAAAAGGTATAAGAAACTCTAGGCAATTTCTACGAAATTATAGCCGTTTTACTGAACTTTTACTTCTAAATAGATCTACTTTTAATTAGAATATTCTGAAAACTTGTACCAAAAAGAAAGACTATTTTCTTACACTTTTTTTTAATGTTTTTTTAAATACTCAATGTTTATCCAATTGTTTCTAAACGACTATCAGAAACATTTTTACTATTAGTTAAAAATGTATAAATACGGAAGAACATATCCTCCTATATCGACAATAGAGTATCTTCAAATGAATACCAAACCATCATTTCAGTCTTTTCGAAAATATTTCCATTTAATATAATAATAACAAAAACTAAAGTAATTTTTCCTGAAGAACTTAATTGCTCATAGAACTTTAATTTTCATATTGGATAATTATCAATGGCAAAATTTAAGAATTTCATTTCTCTAAAACTTTCATCATTTTGTTAAAGAATATAATTATGAAGAACAAAAAAGATAATATGAAACCGACACGAAAGACTTATTATTGTATATTAATCATTGAAGTAAATATAATCCAAGGATAGATACGAAATTTCATTTACAAAACGAAAAGAAAATATTGAATGATATTTTGCATGATTACCGTTTTACTTATTTCCAATAATGTTTCTCCAATATGTTGTGTAAATGTTGTATAACTATTTGCTGTAAACAATTTTTTCCAAGAACATTCTTGTTGTGGGATTAATCGTTCTTTTTCATATTCATTATCAAATAATAATTTTCTTAAAATATATTTGACTGTATCTAATGCATCTTTCATCAAACCTTGTTGACTCTATTTGAAACAGTTGAAAATAAAGAAATAGATGTCTGTTTAAGAGTTCATAATAACTTAATAGGGGAGTATTGACTTATTATGCGGTGCTGGTGTG